TGGGCACAAACACATAGATTAAACTGCAAAATCATGCTTGTCTTTACTGTGAATGAATGAGTTGGTAACAGTCACTAGTTACACATACTGTTCTAGGAATAAAAATGACGAACTGTTTGCAGCAGATTTCACCATTTCTTAACTACAGTATGAATTAACCAATCAATCAATCAGCTCATCTATTTTAGTTTCTGCCCTTTGACATCACCAAAATTGCACTAAATCAGGCACCAGTTTACATTTTGGCTATATATTTCTTTCTACTTGCCTGTTATCTAAACACTTCATGCAGAGTTGCCCATTGACCACAAGATAAATGCTTATTGAAAACATACATCAAGTGAAGGCTAGATTTACACAATCAATCCGCCACTCACACTAATCTTGATGGAGAATCGGTACAAGTAAATCAATGGCACTAGCATTAGTCCCTATGTATACGTAATAGCAATGCACTCCAGTATTCTGGGAATTTAATTTGACCTCAGCTCCAACTGGCTTAAATTCACATAAGAATTTCTTACACCAAGTTATAAATACTGCTAGTCATACCTGAGTCGAGTTTATCGATTCACACAATATATCTTTTCAACACCTATAAACTATTCAAGAAACAACTCCACGTACCCATCTGAACCTGTCGTCCCTAAAACTTGAAACCCTTATCCCTGTATATCAGCACTGGCTCCGAACAAGGCAACTGACAGAAGCTTATCACTGTTCTGAAAACCTTGGCATATCACAAGATGAAAATGTCTGGTTCACTGTCATTTTGAAAATCCAGCTAATCCAGAATTTATATGCCAAGGATAAACTGTGTGCCATATTATCACTGTGATGCTCAGCAGATAAACAGTATACTTGTAAACTTCATAATTGCAAAAATGTTGTATATTTCTTTGATGAAAAGTAGTGACAAATTAACAATATAGAATTTCAGTGACCTATAATCTTTTTAAAAATCTTTAAGGGTATCACAACTGTTACTAGTGTTACTTAAAACAATTCTGTAAACTTACACTTGAATTAGGAAAGCTGTTAATCAAGATCAAACAGACAGACAAACAGACATAGCCCATTTTAAAATAAGTTGTGTTTGTTTAAAGGCATGATATACAATTTACATAAATACAATTAATTTCTTACATAAGTCACTGCTTAAGTTTGCAAATCCCTAAAAACAAAACTCATTCACCTCAAAGAAGATTCCACATTTGTTTACGGTTCAGTACAGCAAAAGAGGATTTGTTCCACTGAACACCTTACATAAACACAGGGCTGCAGGAGTTTCTGTAAAAATATGAAAAGAATAACTAGCATGGACAGCTTAAAAAATCTACAGAAAAAAAAACTGATAGCTTAAGGTAACATTATGTTAATATTAAAATTAATAAAATAAGTTCAATGAAATAAAATACCAATACTTTTTAGCTGTGAAACTCATTATATTACAATAACTGCTCTCTTAAACTAAAAGCAAATGATGTAGTTTTGAAAAAAAGTTTCAAATATAAAGTATTACCAAAGTGAAAAATCTTGTATTGGCTATGGTAACTAATCTTAGTCTCTTGAACTTATGGGGCAAATTTCTCAAATTAAGAAATATTATGAAAAAAAGTCCTTCATCATAAAACCTACCTATCAAGTTGCCCTGCTGGATGGAATGAAAATCCCTTGTACTGCCACTGTTCTTTATCTCGCTGACCAGTTCTATTAGTACTGCTACAGCAGCAATTTGGCTGTCATCAGAGTGAAGCCCAATACGTCAGAAGGCGCTGTTATAGCTTCAACAAATCTAGAGCATGCAGAATGTCACACAGATGCCCTTCTCTTCCGTTCTTAGTTCAAAAAAGAGGTAAAAAATAGAAGTAGTTGCCAATAAAAGTTCAGCAATGTTAAATCATGCATAAAGTAGGTGATCAGTGATGTACAAATCATGTTGACAGTTTTCAAGTACATGTCTGGCACCGTGCCTCCCTACCTCCTAAAATTAACCATAGTTTATCTGACTACATACAGCCCTCACATCTATCATTTCAAAAGTGGGTATAAGTAGAAGTACTATCACGATTTTCTAATTGAAACTACCTTGCTGCACATTGCTTTTAAATATTTTTTTTCGTTTGTTAAATTATTTTCAGCCTTGACTAGTTACTTTCTTAGCACATTTATTTCCAAACATAGTAACCTCTCTTTTGAAGTGTTTACAACCTAGTTACTCAGACATAATACAGTTTAAACTTAGTTTTAAAATATAATGGGGTTTAGCTCTGTCCTTGCTACTGATCCAGAACAGAAAAAAGGGTCAATGTTCAATAACTCAGGCATGGATAATTCAGTCCAACAGATGAATTTCATTCAATTTAGATCATTTTAAAGTAGAATGCGCTGTACAAAGCTAGACACTAAATTGAATGTAGCTAGCTGATAATTTCTATAAAATAAGTGGACACTTTAATAGTACAGTTGAATGAACAGTTTATTCTATCTTTCTTTTTTTTTTATTTGACCCTACACTTATGTTATAATATGACACATTGCGATAGAGGTGACAAGGCTATTTCTCCCCCAATACCCCAAAATATACACAGATAATGAAAATTTAAAATATCTTGATCTGTATGAAGTCACTTGATAGAAAATTTAAGTAAACGGAAAACCCATGCACATATTATGCACAAATAATGTTTCAATTTAGTTAAAATACCCGGCAATGTGTTTATTAATGCCTAACAACAACACTTCTTTATAACAAAGTAAATTACCCAATATGCAGAATCATGCAATTAGAAATAATAATCCAATTGTCTTGAATACAGGACATATCTTTCAAATCCTTTAGATCAAAGAAAAGAGGAACATTTGAATTATTTTCATTGTGAATGTTACTGTTCAAGGAATTCTCTTAGTCTATTAACTTTTGAATCTGAGCATTTCTACTGGGGCTTACCTTCCTGCCTGTAGTCTATTACTTTAAAAGCAATTTCATGTTCTCTGGAAAACTCCGGTTTCTCACTTCAAGTTGTGGAAATGAAATACCAAATGGCACGAGGAGTCGCCTGTCAGCTGGAAACTCATGGACATAACATCAGTAAAATAAACACGGCTGGACTTCTTTCCATCAAAATGTCAATCATCATCCAAAACTGAAAATATCAAAATTCAGTGTAGACTTATCTCAATCACCTTTCTTTAGAAGTGGCCACTGATTACATTAACAATAAGAAGTTTTGAATTAATTTTTACATCAACAATCTTAGTTTAAATGGTTAACATGTTTTTAACAGCAACCATGTTAAGCCAATCCCATTTTCATTTCTTCATACGTAATAATAATATAATCTGAGGACCATCAAATAAACAGGATTTAATAGTCTTGGTTATAACCAATTGAAATAATGCAAAAGTTTTTTTTAGAGTCAAATGTATTGTTATGAAGACACTACTATAGTAACAAGTCTTTTTCAGGGGGCGTTTTCTGTGACATTTATTAAGGATAACTTCAAACAAAACATTTATTTGTTGCAAATCATTGCCAAAACTGTTTTGAAATATGTACAACACTGTTGAGACCTCATCTCCATTTACAAATTCCTATAATCTTGGTAGAATGGTTGCTTCAAGGTAGATGACACATGTTCATCACTTTCAAAAACAAATTCCAGTGTTTGTTTCCAGTTGGTATCTCCCATTTCCAGTGCCTATGGTGACAGTCATTTTTGCCGATTCCTATAAGGGCATGCTCTATTCAGTAGTTACAAAAGAGGTAGCAGTGTATTCTAAACCATGTCATTAATGCAGTTCTTAGAAGTTAACGAACAATTCTCTTGCCCTATACACGTGTTAAAAGTCTCAAATGTTCTAGAAGGAAGTTTTCCAGAGCAACATTATTCTCTCAATACACGAAAAACAACTTACAATCTACAAGCAATACAAATAATTGATAGTACATGTTAACAGGGGCGGATCCAGAGATATTTTCTGACAGTCTTCCAAATTATCTTTGTTGATCCATCCTCCAATTTTGATGGTCTTCCGACAGAAGAAATTAAATACCCATTAATGTAAACTTGAAAATCTGACCGTCTTCCGGAAGACCCTGAAGACGGCGTAAATCCGCCCCAGCATGTAAAGACAGACTGACATAAATATCATAGCAACAACTTAAGCTTATTGCAAAATAAACTTTTTCTACTGAATTTCTAAAAATAATTTGAACACCATAGAAATAAAATGCAATTTACTTACGTCAACCTTGCATCCTTTGATCCTGCATCCCTTGGAAGTTTTCAGAGAATACTGCACTTAAATGCAAAATATAGGTTGACAGCTTCTGTTTTTTCTGGTAAGACTAATCTTCCACACTAACATGCCAAAAAGAATTTTGGCTTGTAGTCATGGTGCAGCACATCAGTTCCTTTTATTGTATTTGCCTCAACATTCATGAGGCCTACAAGATGATTCAGTGCCTGTGATCCATAGTAATTGTTGCTTTTCTGTCTTAACATATGATGCAATTTGCAAGATTTCGCTTAAACATTCGCTAAAATTCATATAATTTATGTTTTTCTTCTTATTATTTATTAATTTATTTATTTTTGTGTGTGTGTCAATGTTCATATTTCAATAAGAAAACGGCAATACAATGGAAATCAAGTAAAACTGTTAGTAAGACTGTAATGAGAAATAAAACCCCCATTTCCATGGTTCTGCCACAATTGCCACTGCAGACAACTATCTACTCTGATCAATTTTTTACGAAAATTGAGTTCCTTCTGTATTTTGTCTGTTCCAGTAGGTACATTAACATTCAGTAAGATTTGCAAAGAATTTTTTTCTTAAATGAATCCCTCTGCTTAACACTTACACAGGGATTAGGATTGATAAGCGTGAAGTCTGCATATTCCATACCAGAATTCAGTAGCTATAATTTGTAAAAAAAAAATTCTTTTAAGACCCTCCAGTTGTAGTAGAACGGAAACAATAGAAAAACAGATTGGTTAAGTTCAAATATAATAGTTTAATCTTTTGTTTGTATGTTTACTTTATTGTCCATATATCAACATTTTTATAAAAAGTACTTCTCAAAGTTATATATATTGTTTCAAACTCACATTTTGTTGAAAGGTGCTGAAATAACTGATAAAGCTTCCACAAATATCCACTGTATAATCATGCTCCATGATAAATATACTAATGAAAAGCCACAAAAAAAATCAAACATTACCCCCCAAAATATTCTTTCAGAAATAATAAGTTAGTGCTTTGTGAAATGAGTCCCATTTTCTTCTTTTGTCAAGTTAATCTTTGTCCAGCATTTCTTCTAAGGCCTGTAAATACAATATCTCAGTATTAATTCTATGAAATCTAAAACTGCTAAATCACTGGGAAAAATCATAAAAGCAGATTAACTTTTCTTTTTAATTTCAAGTGCAAAGATTTTTCTTATTGTACAAAATACTTGTGAACAAATATAGTGCTAACCTGCAGTGTGTCTTGCCTATCTGCAGTGACCAAGATATTGGGTGGATTGCTCTGTCTTATAGTTTCACAAAACCTGCATGACAACATATTTCATCCTTTATCTCCAATCTTAATAACAGTGTCTATATCAAAAACTTTCTTCACCATAATCATACAAAATGCAATTTGAAATGTACATTATGCTTTGCAATTAAAACATTATATTAAGTCATTTACAAATTTAGTTTTTAAAAATTTCCCCTTCAACAGCACCAAGCTCATCAAAGTGTATTAATGGTAGCAGCAATAGATTTATTTCAAACAATTTTCCTGGCTGTAAACTGGCTGTGAAACAGGTGGGTAAAATTCCCCTGTACTGTAAAATTATTTAATGAGAATTTGAAATAAAATAAACTGTCAGTATTCATTTCATTTTATTTTACTTGAAATGCTCAGAAGGAATGAGACAAAAAACATTGCACCAAAAACAGTGTTTTTCATTTAAAGGGATAATAACTCTTCGTATGAGGTCTATATTTCACAATAAAAACATTGTGAATAACTCACAGAAATATAATATACTAGTATTCTGTTTTACGACAAAAACAGCAGTTATAGCTATTATTCTGATATCTGAGCTTGTCTTCAGACCACGTGACCTCCATTGACGGCTATACTCTGTTGTAATCTCTTAAGAGATTTTAACAAAAAACCAAACTTTTTAGAAAAAAAACAGGGACTAACTTTGAATGTAAAATGGATTCATTAACCATTGTTAAGTATGGGAAAATTGTTGCTTACTCCAGGAAAATTCATTTTTTGGCCAAAACGAAGAGTTATTATCCCTTTAACTTAAACTTTTTTCATCTATCTGTTCACCAAAAACAAAAAATTGATTAAAACAAGCAAAAAGTCTACACAGCATGCAATTTTTAGTGACATCCTTCACCTTTGTCATATCAATAGGTTTCACCCAGCCTCTGTCTCAATTACTGTAAAAGCATTCGCCTGTTTGATCTTAACAATGAAGCTTCTTACATCATATCTCTCTTGAGAAAACAAAGTGAAAAGAAAGAAGATACAGAATGATAAAATATTAATTGTTATGCTCATGACATCAAGGGACTTACTTTTCAATTTGTTCATCTGTCTCGTGAATATCTTTGTTCACTTGAGAAAGCTCCTACAAATAGACAAAAAAATTCAAAAACTTGATAATGAAAAAGAAAATCATATCTGGTGCATAAAAAATACTATAGCACTGCATTTGTGAACTCTGCCATTTATTCTAAAGCTTTTGAGTGAAAATAATAACAAAGTCCAGAAGTATCATTTTAATAACAGACACAGAAGTGAAATCCCAATGAAACTTTATATTTTTTTAGATATTTGTAACTTTGAGACTTTTATTGGCTCTATATATCTAGTTACTCTCGCTGACATACTTACAAAAGTGTAAATATTTTACTAAATAAGACCAAAGCAATAACAGAAAGTTGGAAAAATTAAAGGAAAAAACCTTTACCAGCTGGAGGTCTAGTTTAACAGTATCTAGGTTTATTAGAGTTGCTTCAATTTCCTTCAGCCTCGTATCTTCCCCGTTTACAGGAGTCTATAAATAAAATAATCAGAAAAGCAATGGTAAATCACATCTCCTTTGTATCCAGGGTTTCAATTTTTATAAGGAAGGCAACTTCCACAAATTAACGTCCATGGGCTCATTCCCAATGAACTATCATTCTACAAACCTTAATCCAAATCCGTGGGGACTCTCGCTGAATGCAATCAGATAAGCACGCCTCTTCTTGTTTCCAACAGACTTGTACAATTACCAACTTTTCTGCATTCTACTTGGTGCCAAGAGGCAGCATTTTAATCTGAAAATTTTACATTTAGCGAGACTCATCGCAGAGTTGGTTCAATCTATGGAAAAGGATAGTTTCATCAGGAATGAGCCCTTATATATCTGAAATGTTCTCAATGACAATATAGTGCTTCACTGCTGATAGGATAAGAATATCTTTAACTTCTCAAAATTGCAACAGAGTACATCTTCTTTCACTTAAGGAGCCTCATCAAAATATTTGCAGTCTAAATGAAACAGAAGGAACAGGTTCAACTAAAACTTGATAGCATGATGGGACTGTATGGGGTTTTCATTAGTTCCCGACTTAGGGTCATGGTGTCATTTTCATGTCATGATCCCCAGAAACATAGGCATCTTCAGTACTGATCATAAAATATTGTTCACATGTTTTGGAAAACCTCACTCAGGTAAAAATGTTGGGTTATAAAAGTGATGGGAGTTAAGCAGTGGCAAAAAGTATAAATTCCAAACATGTCTGTGCACATTCCATTTTAAAGTCTTATTGAATGAATTTCATAAGTTTTAAATCTGGCCTAATATCAAACAGCTGGGCTCAATTTATTCAAATCCAGATCTTTTGCAAAAGCAGTGAAACCTGCTAAAATACTGAAGCATTAAGATTAAGATCATTAAGATCTTATCCCTAGTTATTGTATTTCTTCATTTGCCAAAAACTGCACTACTGTAAGTCTATCAAGTTGGGGATTAATGGAAACTATGGAAAAAAATACCTTTTATAACTGATGTTAATATATATTCTGTAAGTGACACTATTAATAATACCTCATCTTCTCCATACTGTTGGTAGATGTTTTTCTTTGTGATACTGTGCAATTTCTTGTGGTGTCGACGAAAGGCTTTGTAAAACTGCCTTAAACTGTCATCATGTCTAAAATGTGAAGCACAATAGTAAGCAACCCAGTCAAAATAAGAGTACAAGCTTATCAAGCACTATATTTCTATGATATTTCATATCATTATTCATATCTTACTATGACATTTCTAATCAATTCATAATACAAGCCTCTGGTTACAAAACTTATCATTTATCACATGTAATTCACATACAGTACTTAAATAGGGGCCGTAGCAATAGTCCGAAGGTTCAATAGTCCGAAGGTTCATTGGTCCGAATGTTCACTATAGAACCTTCTGACCAATGAACCCTTGATTAAAAAAAACTATGAAAATGTTACTGTTTTTCGGACCAATGTACCTTCGGACCAATGAACCTTCGGACTATCGAGACGCCCCCCTTAAATAAATAAGTCATGGATAAAGCACGTGCAAAGAAGCTGTATCTACATAATATCATTAACTCTTTGCTCTTGAAGAAAAAAGAAAAAAGGAAAATTATAATTTTGAAAAATAATTATAAAAAAAACATCAAAATTATCTAAAATAATTTCCAACTTTATGCCTTTAAAAATTGGCAAAGAAATAGTCATTGAAACATGAATGGTTTATTCTAACTCAGATACATGGCTTTCTGTGTGCCATATTTCAAGTTCTAAGCTTTTTAGGTGTGGACCCTACTAGTTAGTTACTCAGTAAAATTGTGTCTTGCTCTTTTAAGAATGCATTAGCATGAAATTTCATGTTTTGGCAATGCTATATGATTTCTGATATGTCCAATTTGCTCTAGCCGACTGTCATTTTACAGTTATGTGCAAATCTATCTTTCATCCATGATGTGAGGGCGCAAATAAAACATACCAGGAAAAAAATTACAAAATAGCCTAGGGGTCTTCGTGATATTAACGTGTGAAATTGTGTAAAAATAAAGATTATAGTACAAAATTTGTTTTAAAAACTAAACATATGCAATTATTTTCACCTCAGCTTTTCTGTAAAGTAACTTTGGAATTCTTGAAACGTCATATCCTTGCCCATGTTATCAGCTAACAGAAATTCCTCCAAAATTGTTGCCGCCATATTGAGCTTTCTGTACATTTTCAACAAAAGAGCTCCAATGTTTACAAAATTGCAAGACGGATCGATAAAGATTGACATTAAGAAAGAAGGAATAGAAGTCCCTACAGCAAAGTTTCAACACGCCCAGTAGTTTGGAATCATAGACCGTTACGTATAGGCTGTCGTATATTTTTTACTTGTTTCAAAGAGAAAAACTAACGAGTTTTTAAATAGTTTTTCTTGGTTGACCCATTTAGTGAAAAAATGGCAGGGACCGGCTATTTTGCTGCAGTGAAAATTGCTGCTGAAAAACACCCTCGTCTCCGCGAAAAGACCATTCAATATGGTACAGCAGGATTCCGGACCAAGTAAGAAACAGCAAGATTATTTTTGATATACTTGTAGCATTTTTTCATAACAAAATTTAGTAATTGTGCACACCGTTACCTGTGGATTTCACCTACGATAAGTTTTATTGCACAGACATTGCCGGCCATGCGCATGTCACATCTTGCAAATTGCATGATTCCAGTCATAAATATCCCATGCTTGTTTGATGGGTGGTTTCAAGTGTTTAAGAGACTGTTTTATTACATCAACCATTTTGAACTTTGATTGTACTCCGTAGATTAAAGAATTTAAATATATCTTTCCTTTGGGTCTGGGAGGGGTGTGGGGGACTCTAATTAATAATTTAATGTGTTCGATCTCACAGCTCACCCACTGGTGATTTGTAAAGAAGACATCATGACAGGCCAGGGCTGTCACCATAATTTAATATGTGTTAAAATAAGAATGTCTTCAGTATTTATATCTGTTAAAATAAAAACAGCGCTTCTCAATATGATATAAAAATACATGTATATGGTTTCATTGCAGAGGTGAAGAACTTGACCATGTCATGTTCAGAATGGGAGTGTTGGCTGCACTTCGGTCACAACTTAAAAGAGGTAATGATGCATGTCACATATATGTTTTCTAATGAAACAGAAAACTTCTTTGCCTAAGTTCAGGCATGATAAAAGCACCAGTTTCTTATTTTCATAGCTGTGAAAAAATTTTTTACTCATATTAGCATGATGTAACTTATAATTTAATAAGCTTCATGTCTTTTTTTTTTTATTTTCTGATGGACAGAAAACTAGAGAAATAAGTGAATATCTTGTGATCAAATTCTTCCTGTGAGCCTGCTGGAGTGTAGTCACCTAGAGTCAATTAACAATGACACGTCTTATTTTGTTGTTTTAATGAAATATGATTGATCTGTTTTTGATAAATTATTGCAGCTGTAATTGGAGCTATGATCACAGCATCACATAACCCTGAGGAGGACAATGGAGTCAAGCTGGTGGATCCTCTTGGAGAGATGCTGGAAGCTGCCTGGGAGAAACTGGCCACCAAACTGGCTAATGTCAGGTTAGGAATATCCCTTTTTCTTTATCCCTTTTTTTCATAATCACTGGACCTGTTAGACCGGTGCGACACTTCTTCATTCTATTTCTGTCTTGATACTTACTTTTAAATCTGATTCATTTATTTTCAGAATGAAAAATGCATCCTGTGACATCAGAATTATTTTAATAATCTTAAAAAAGATATAAGTCAGCATATCATCAAAAATTCTTTAATGATATTAAATAAAACTGAATTTTAATACAAGATTATTGTGCATCATTCTATGGATATTTTAGTGATTCTGACCTCCCAGCTGTTCTGTCAGACATAGTCTCCAGTTGTGGCATAGACACAGCTGTCCCTGCACAGGTGTTCCTAGCCAGGGATACCAGGTCAGTGATATATGGCCCATTACTGAGATAAAATGTTACAAAAAACTGCTACAAAGTATCAAAGGCTGCTCAAAGACACATATAAAAGAATGACAAATAACATAACTTGAGCTATTTTGGCCACTGTTATAACAGTTTTATTAGAAAGAAGATTTTATTTTATCAGATAAGCTTATCCTATGAAACTAGATCTTATCTTTCAAGTGTGTTCTTTAATAATTTCCATTGTATCTCAGGCCCAGTAGTCCATCCCTTGCACAAGCCATAATTGACGGAGTCCAAGCAATAAAAGGAGAGGTCAAGGACTATGGTCAGTTTTGTCCACTAGTGTCCAACTACCTTGTTACTCAAATTGTCATTTTGATATTTTATGGCCAGAGTTTTGGATACGAGATAAGATTGTGTCTGCTAGTACTTGTAAGCAGTCCTAATTTCCTTTGCTCAACCATGATGTTTTAATAGAATAGTATGTAAAGTCCAAAAATTTGTACGGGTCATTATGTAGTTTAAGGGTGACAGTTGGAGACGATCATTTTGTTTTATTGTTTTGAATACATTTCCAGGTATATTAACCACTCCCCAGCTTCACTTCATGGTTAGATGTGAAAATTCCCAAGGTCAATATGGGAGCCAAACTGAAAATGGCTACTACACAAAACTATCTAATGCTTTTTTGAAACTCAGGGGTCATGTAAGTAACTAATTAGTGATTTTTTAAATTAAAGACTTTCATAACGATAAATAGTCATAATTTCAACATTTGAAAAACATTTGATAATATGCATGCAATATATTTTTAAAATATCATTTGTGTGATAATTAAGTGGGTGGAAAAATCAATATTGGTTTATTTGTAGGAACACCAAAATGAGCGTTATCACCCACAACTCAGGTTAGATGGAGCTAATGGAGTAGGTGCCTTAAAGATAAAAGAAATGCAGAAGCATTTGAACAACTCTTTGCAAATAGAATTGTTCAATGATGGGAGTAGCGGCAAGTTGAATTATATGGTAAATTTGTGTGTTGTTGAGAAACTGATCAAAACTTACTAGGTAGAAGAACATGAAGCATTATCTTAAAAAGTTAGGTCAGGATGCTGTCATATAAGCTGGTTTATTTACTCACAGTTATGATGTCATCATGTTTTCATTTTCAAGTGAATTATGCTAAAATGTTCATTATTTTAATTTTTCCAGTGTGGCGCAGATTACGTCAAAGTCCAGCAGACAGCTCCTAATGGTGAGTGGGGTACAGGATTATCAAACAATCAAAATTATTAAAATATAACCATCTGAATTGCTGTATATTTAGTAAAAGCTGAAAAATTGATGGATACAGCATGGTGATATTTGTGTCTTTACCTGTAGTTTGTATATCCAGGTATGCCCAAGGAAGCCAGGGTCAGGTGTGCATCCTTTGATGGTGATGCTGACAGGATAGTTTACTTTTACCAGGAGAAAAGTACGCATCAGCCATGTGGTATTGTATGGATCTCTTGGTAGTGGTTATGTGAAAGATTGGAAATCCCTCAAATGAAGTTAACTTTTTTTTTTCATTTCTGATAGTGCCATTATATGGAATACTTGAAAGTTTACATTGTTTACTAATAAATCATTTAAGGGTACCCGGTACCTATAATCGTGTGTGTGTGTGTGTCTGTGTGTGTGTGTGTTTTTTGAGTAAACTTTACATAGCTTCTATCTATTTTCAGATGGAACATTTAAGCTATTAGATGGTGATAAAATAGCAACTCTAGTAAGTATTTCTGCAAATTTATGTTGACACCTAAAAGATAATCCTAATCTTATTGTTTGGGTTTTGATCTTAGACAGAATACTATCACATTGATAACTGAATCCTATCACTAACAACAGAACTATATTTTCAAAAGGTATTAGTTACATATTTCCTGTGGCTGTCATGTTGAATTAAATATGTGGACTTTATTTTTTATGATGTATGTTTTTCCTCTTTAAGGTTGCTGGTTATTTGAAGGAACTTGTGAACAGCAGTGGACTGAATATCAACCTGGGCTTAGTTCAGACTGCCTATGCCAATGGCAGCTCCACAAGCTACATAACTAATGAACTGGTGAGTTTATACATGCTTTGGGTTGAGTAAAATGAGAAAATAACTACAAAAAAAGAATAAACGTAAGCATTATCCTTGCCTGCTGATAAATTGCTCATGTGATTTTCCTGAATGTGTTTGTCTATAAAATGTGAGCAGTTTCAACATGTATCCTGTGTGAGTGAAGTACCAGTCACAGCAAGGCATTCACACCTAACACATTAAACACATTTACAAGTCATTGCTATGGTGGTTATATAGCCTACTCGGGCACATTTTATTAAGTGCACAATCACAACTAACACAATCTGTTACATCCAATGCACTTACCTGTACATACCTGACTGTCATTTCAGCAAGTCCCAGTGGCTTGTGTGCCCACTGGTGTGAAACATCTCCATCATAAAGCCCTGGAGTATGACATAGGTGTGTACTTTGAAGCAAATGGACATGGGACCGTGGTCTTCAGTGAAAAAATACAAGATATGGTACTCATGGCAGCTAATGATTCCAGGTAAGGCTTTAAGTGTTAAACATTTTTGCATGTTAAATAGTTGTTTGTATATCTTGACTTGGCAGTGAAGTGGGGGGGGGGGTCGGCTTTAACAATTTATAAACATTATGGATTTTCAATGACCAAATTGATGCATTTCTGATAAGTTGCACAATTGGAAAAGATATTGTCTGTTTGAAGACATATGAAAGATCATATTCTTTTTCAGTCTTTCAAAGGACCAAGAACATGCTGCAAGAAGACTGTTATGGATAATTGGCCTAATAAATCAGGTATGTCAAAATAACAGTTGAAGATCCTTAAAAAACTACATATTTATGTCTTTCAGATTTTCCTATTTGGCCATTATATTCATGTATATATTTAAGATTTTACTTTACGTAAATATAAGAACTTATACATCACTGCATTGCACACATGAAACCTGACCATTTTAGCAGCCATTGTATACAATTATTATTAATAATTGGTTAAACTTTTGCCCTTTCTTCATTGATACCATATTGTCCACAAGTTTTATAACAGTTTTTAAAGGTATTATTTTCTTGTTGGCTCAAAGCATTATTTTGGTACACAGGAAAACTTCATCATCTGTATGTATGACTTTTGCTCTCCTCATCTTCAGACTGTAGGTGATGCCATCTCTGATCTCCTGTTAGTAGAAACAATCTTACATTCCAAGGGGTGGAGCATAGAGGACTGGAATGATGCCTACACTGATCTTCCAAACAGACAACTGAAAGTCAAGGTGAATTTTTTCATGATACACAGAAAGATGTATTAGGGGCCCACTTCAAAAACGATGCTGTTAATTCCATGATGGTATCCCCACTTCCACACGCACTGTTGCTGCAGGGGCCTTTCAATTAAGCCTCGAATTTTATCCATTTTATGGCACGTGTGGAGGCGGGGAATCAGCGGCATAACTTTTGAAGTGAGGTCGGCCATATTTAGTCAGCCGATCATTTAGTACTCGGATCATCTACTCTGAGTGGCCCCTTTGAAGTCTCTTGATTTTGATGGACTTGACAAGTTTGTCCATGGCCGTGTGTCATAACCTTGTGAATATCTTGAGAAATGGCTTGGCTAGGACCATCATATTTGGAACATAAGGGGGCTTTGATGAGTTTATACTCTATTCTAAGGTTGACCTACATTTCAAGGTCAAGGTCGAAGCATGCTCCATTTTCATTGGCATTGATGGTCTGTTCATTAGCGGACTTGATATCTCAAAGAAGTTCTTCCTAAAAAATCTTACTAAATTATTCAGACAGTTGTTCTGGGGGTAAGAAGCATTTACAATTTCAACAAAATCAGGGTTTCCTAATACATTTTTTAGAATTGTAATTTGATTATAATTTACATTTTGCCTTTGAAGATGTCTGCTAACTAGAAGTATTCTCCATTTAATTATTGGTGCAATACGCATACAGATACTACTACATATAAAAGTACATTAAAAGTACTGGGCTGGAATATTCAAAATATGTGTAAGCTAAGCAAAGTGAGCTAAAATAAAATGTATAACTGACAACCCTTAAGGTAGCAAAAATAACATGCTTAATGTTTTTAATTTATTTAGAAAACTCATACTCCAGGTTTTGAAATCTGTTACCTAGTTTATATTATCAGATACCTGCAAGAAGAGAAGAAAAGCTGTCATATTCTCATTTATTTTCAAATTGTTTGTAGGTGAAAGATAGAACTGTGATTCAGACCACAGATGCTGAGAGGAAAACTACCTCGCCTAAAGGGTTGCAGGAGGCCATTGATGCTTTGGTGGAAAAGTATCCAGATGGCAGGGCCTTTGTCAGGTCAGTTCACACCTGTGCACATGTCCAGCAGGCATGTCCAGAAGACATATGGCTGTACTGTCCAACCCAATGTCAAACTTTGTTTACTCTTTATTTTTCTGAGTGTTCAAAGCAAAGAACAAACAAGTGCAATCATGAGTCATTGTTGCACAATGTGATTTATGTCGAACTTTGTTCTATGAACACTTCTCGTACAGTATGTGAGGTCAAGTGGTCATGATATTTGGTTCACTTTTCAATATTAACATTTTTTAGGCAAATCAGTTACAAATTAATACAGTAGAAGATTACTTATTAGATTCACTATGGATCCCAAGTGTTTGATAAGCTTAAAATTCTAAACTGATGAATCAACACTCATTGATCATTTGGGTGACAATGACCATTTCACATTGGTAACAAATAAGAAAATAAGCCAGCAACTTGGCTATTAAAAATTCCAAAATAAGAGCAGTTCTTTATTTTTAACAGTTATTTAATTGAAAATAAATACAGCCTATAATTTCATTTAATTCAGGCCTTCTGGAACTGAAGACATTGTCAGAGTTTATGCTGAGGCAGAAACTCAGGTATGTATTTAAAGTTTGTCTTTGATATGTGTGCTGTGCTTAAAGAGGTATGTCTGCCAAAAAAGGTATGTCTGGCAGTGTCAGGGGGGTCCTGA